ATCACCGAGATACACTTCTCTACTGAAATACCAGTGAACCTGGTTCCTGAGGTCAGTTCTTGTTACTGATAACTTTAACGGGTAAATAATTGTACCTGGCGTTAAGGAGACTGCAGTCCTAAATCAGTAAAATAAACGTTCTAGAAAACCACTCAATTGCTCTGCAAAGTGAGAATAGGCTGTAACTCAGCTCTTCCCTCACAGTTTAGGAGTGGTTGGGTCAGGCACAGAGCACGCAGCACCGCAGCAGCCCCACCGCACACGCTGTGAAACACCAAACCGCAGCACCTCCTAGTCGGGTTATAAGAGAAGGACGCGTGGGCTTGCACAGCTGAAACACCAGCAAACAGTTATCATGCCCCCCGCATCCCCTACCGCTCGGGATCCTCACTTATCATATCCATATCCAGAAGGCGGCCGGCGCCTAGGGCCCGCCCCGGGTCCGCCCCGGCCCATGGGAAGGGGTGCCCGGCCGGGGGGTCGACAGGTTGAGATGGAAGAAGGCGAGAAGGAAACGGAGGTGGCAACCACTCCCGCCGCGGGGGCGGGCAGGGCCCCGAGAGAAGCCGCCAGCCTCAGGTGGAGCCCGACCCGGCAGCTCCGTGCTCCCGGCTGGTGCTGCGGGGCATGGTCCCGCCTCGAAACCTTTAAGCCCGGCCGCAATGCTCTCTGCAACTTCCGCGGCTCCGGCGGCGGCGTGGCCCGAGGGCTCCGCGGCCGCCTCGACGCCTCCGGGCCCGCGGAGCGGTGGCGGACGGTCCTGCCCTGCCCTGCCCTGCCCTGCCCGCCGCCGCGCCCCTCTCCCACCCCAGCCGCAAGCGGTAGGGAAGTGGGAAGTCCCGGAAAAGCAGGTCTTAGGTACTTCCCCAGGTGAGGGAGCTGGACGTCGGGCTCCAGCTGCGTTCGCCGCAGCTGCCCTGGGAGGGAGCAGGTGAGACCGGGACTCCCCCCCTCACCCACTCCCGCCGTAAATAAAGCCTAGACAAAGTCACCATCTGGGGAGGGGGCGGGGAGCTGCATTAGACGTGGAAGTCACTTACCAGCTTTGCAAGGATCCTTATAATCTATCGCCTCGGCTTTATCCTCTTCAGTGAAATCGTAAGTGTAGTCATAATCAAGGCCAGAGCAGCAGGAAGGCTTCCCGCAGACAGTCCACCCGGCCAACCACAGTGCCATCCTCCAGCAAAGCATCTTCATCCTCCCTCGGGCGAAGAGGTGGTGGGCAGGGGGCGGGTGAACTAGGCGGCCGGTTCGGCTGTCCATGCCGGCTTGGGAAAGGAGGGTAAGGGATGGAGGAATCACAGGTTTTGTGGAGGGGTTGGGTTTTTTTTTTTCGTTCTCCACCTGGGGGCTCTTCCGAGAGACGGTGCCCTCTAGGTAGCCCCAGTCAGACGGGTGCGACACAGAGTGAGGAGCATGAGCGTCGCTGCCCCTACTGCCCTCTCGTCAGGGAAAAGTCTCCGGGTGTGTGGGTGGGCGCAGGGAGTGGACTCAGGCTGGGAGATCCTGTCTGTCAGGGCGTCCCCTCGCCTCTGTCAAACCCCAGCCAAACTTCCCGCGGAGGAGGCGGCGGCGACGGCTGCTGCCCGCGTCCCGTTCCGCGCCTGGCCCGCGCCCTGCTGCGCGCCCGCCGCGCCGCCAACCCCGGTCCCACTGACGCTACCAGAAGATGGATCCGGGCTGCACATCAGCAAACTACCACGGGGAGAGGGGAAAAGAAAAAGAAAGAAAGAAAAAAGGAAGGAAAGAAAAGGGAGCAGGCGGGGTGGGGGAGGGAGGGTGCACTACAGCAAACCGCGGAGCTCTAGTGATGGGAGGCAGCAGCTATGCTGGAGTGAGCAAAGTGTCAGAGCTTCGCCCCCCTCTGCACAAACACTCTCAGCTCTGTCTCTGGTCTGTCCCCCCTCCTCCGTCCCCCTTTAACTTACAAAAACCTTACAGGCAACTAACACACAGTCGTCAGCATCCTGCTTACTTATTCATACAGTCAGGGTCAGGATCCGGGCTGCTTCTGATCTGCTCCCTTGATAGTGTGTCTTATGGAAACACGCGCGTTCACTATACGCCTCTATCTCCATATAGCTTTCTCTCTAGATAAGTAGTGCATTGCATTTAAACAACAACAACAAAAGGATCGAGATCAGATAAAACAATGCACAGATCGACACCCGACAGCCAAAAAAGAGCGAGAGAATGGGTGTTGAGAAGAATTAACTACAATTTAGGAGACGGAAAAATAAATCAGTGTCTGTGTATTTCCCCCTCTGCTGCGGCTGCTTTGCAGTGTTAGCCCCATGAGCTGAAGGGTGGGGGTTAAGGAGCGAGGGGGAGGGGGAAAGAGAAAAGTTTAAGCGCCCACAGTTTGTTTAAAACAGAGGAAGGCAATATAAAAGGTCCATTGGTCTCCAGAAGTTCAGCCAAGCAACCGGGAACCGGTTCCAAAATGAAAGTAAGAATAAACAAACAAACAGAAAAAAACAATCAATGCAAACAAAAAGTAAAATCGTAGCATGCAGCAGCAGCGCGGAGATCTTGCAGTCGCGTTTTCCTTCTCTCACGTGGATCTCCAGGAGAGTGGTGGAGGTTTATTTTCCAAGCGAAGTTTCCGCGGGAGCCTTCGCCCCGCTCCGCGGTGTCCTGCCTCGCCTCGCCCGGCCCAGCCGCGCTTCAGAGCCGAGGCGCCCCGAGCCGCCGCCGGCTGCGCGGGGCCGGGTTTTGTTTTAAAGCCCGAGAAGGGATAAGCGCGCAAAGCCTCATTTCAGCCGATCAACCTGGAGAGGGAGGGGGAGGAGGGGTGGAGATACGTGCTGCTCGAATAAAACAAGATCAAGCGGGGGGGGGGGGGGGGGAAATGTATATAGGTAGTTAGAGATCTCCCTGCCTGCCTCCTCCCCTCCCCCGAGAAGGGCAGCTCCGATCCTGCAGAAACGCCTGAAACTGTTTCAGACCAAGGTGAGACTTTTCCGTAGCAAACTCTATTCCTCCTCCTTTTACGAGTTTCCATGGAAAAGGGCGGGGGGGACGACGAGGGGTGGGTAGAGGGGAGTTTCTTCTGCTGCCATTTCGCCGGGGTGTCACATTTAACACGGACTTTTGAAAGGGCTGCCGCGGAGAAGTGACTGCGTCTTTCTCTCACTTCCGAGCCAGCACAGGCTCGCTCTCTTCGCAGCACTTCCCGGTAACCTTCCCTCTGTGGCAGGGGTGGAAATCCGGAGATAGTCCCTTCTCCTGCCTGTGCCAAGAAGGCAGGCAGAGCCGGCGGCGCGCCCCTTGGCTCCGCGGGCGCGGACCGCCCCAGGTACCGCGGGGGCGGGAGGGGCACGGCGAAAGCAGTTATGCAAACTCCGGGTAGGCACAGCCTGCTCTCGCAGCTATCCAGGGACTGGGCACAACTTTCTATCGCCGCTGTCAAGATCTATCTGCTTCCAAAAACGGGGGGCATGGGGGAAGGCGTTGGGAGACTGGGGGGCGGGGGGAAGGAGGCGTGGGGAGAGCAAGGCGCAAAGCCTCTTTTCAAATGACAAAAAGTGTACTGCCTGCCCGGAGACGGTGCGTCTGCCCCTGCCGTTCTGCGAATGAAGGGTTAGTGTTGCTATAGATAGGCACTCTCGGCGGGTCATACCATTAAAACTGGAAAGGTCAGTTAAGGCAGAGCTAATAACAGTTTAATAATAGAGCATATTAAGGAGTCTGACACCGGGTAGCATCACTGTCTTTGAAGCATCCATGTGTTGTGCTTCCTTGCATTTTTGGCATCCACGTTGTGTTCATGTTACTCCTAACCTAGTCTTGTTGCTTCAAAGTTGAAAGCCAAGGAATGAGTAGCTGCCACTGAAAAGGTGCAGCCTTCACTAAGGAATCACTCTTCTCTGTCCCGGCAGTTCAGTTTGTTGGGTTTCATAAGGCCCACAAAAAACACCATACACCAGATGACAGAAAAGCCTGAGAAACTTGTGGTCTGCTCGTTTCTCCTCTTCCTCAATGTACTTCCTGTAACCAGCCACCTCAGACACTTGGAACTGACTCCAAGGAAGTTATCAGAGATCCTTCCTTGTCAATTCATCAGAGCAGTGTCAGAGCTGATGACTATATATGCTTGCATACTGTCACGGTTTAGTGGGCTGTGTTTTGGTAAAGAAACCAGTCTGATCCAATCTGAAATCTAGTTTCTGTTATTTTTTAATGTCCACAAAGGAGACAGTTTACCTTGCAGTGTTACAAATTACATGCTCATTTGACATAGTGGATCTCCGTAACCCAGTTTTGTTATTTTACTTGGTCTTGTTTCATACATGCACACCTTTAAAAAGTTAATTTTCTTTCATGTGCCTAGGCACCCCTATCCCAAAAAGAAACAATCTCTGCCTAGCAAGCACATGTTTGTCAAAAGAGCCTTAGAAACACTGACTTTGCTGATTGCTTTACAGCCCTAGTAGAGGAATGTACAACATACAGTCCTCAACATGCCAGTCTCCCAAGTGAGGAGATTATTATAGCCTCTCCAGCAGGAGATTAACTCTCCCAGCAAGGTAGGCACTGACGTCACTCCCAGCCTCAATCTGCCCCCGACCTCAGCATCATCAACACTGGCAGAGCAGCAGCAAGTGTTCACAGTCTTGAAGACAGCTGGCCATGCAGAGCCCTGACTAAGACAGGAAACAAATTCAGAAATGTTAGATGGGAGTCATGCAGAAATCTGGGCACATAAGTGCTGTAACAAATAAATGTGTGTATAGGTCAGGGTAAAAGCTGTTTTCTGCTTGTAATCCAGAGCAACTACACATTAGAATTACTGTTTAAAATAAGCATTGCAGCTCTGCAGAAACTATTCTACATTGCTTAGGTATTAATATTCCCATCAGTCACATTAGTAAAAAGCCTTCCTCATATTAAGAGAATTTTTTTCCTAGTAACCAAACTGTTTCACATTAAAAACCCCATCTTTTTCCCTAATTAACTTCTTAATTATTCAACCTAACTTCTTTCATGATGCAAAATTTTGAAACATTTTAAGTACAAAATATTTTTTTCTTATCACACATTCATGTCTACCATTCCAAAAAGCTCACAACTCTGATAATCCATCTGACAACACAGTCAATCAAAAATCCATCCTACAGCCGTTTCCAAAGAAACGAACACATAGCCAGGAAGACAGAATGCTTAAGCTGGAAGGAAACCAACCAAAGGAACACAACAACAGCAACAACAAAGCTCCAAGCATTTTCCCTTTCCCTTTAAATTTCCTGATTTGTGGATATATTACAGGGACACAGATAATGGTAAATGCATTTACATTAAAAGTGGTGGTGGTGGTTTTGGTTCTTTGTTTGTTTTTGGGTTTTTTTTAATCCAGAAAGCAGGAGGCTTTCCAGCTCTTCCTACACATACTCACAAAAAATACAACACCCCCCCCCAAAAAAAAACCCAAACCCAAAAACAAACAAACAAAACCCCACCACACCAAAAAACACCCAAACAAACTAAAAAACATTTTGAAAAAGGACAAGTATGTACAAAAGACAAACACAATCACAGAACTAAAAAAAATACATCTGAAATATCATTGTTCACACCTCCTCCTCATTCTTTGGCTATCTGTCTCCTGGTTAGGCCTCCATCTAGTGTGGAGTTTTAGGTGGGTGGACACAATGGGCTTATTCACAAACATCAAGCTCAGCACATGCCTAAGGCTTTGAAGGCTGAAGACCATGGTGGGTCAGCTCCTTGGGACAAGGACTCGTGGGATTTTTCAGGAGGCTAAAACAGAGAAGTTCTGCGGGAGCTGGTTACCTTCGTGCTTTATCTCCTGATAGCCACATTCTCTGTCTCTGAGGTACCTAGAGCACTTCTGAAACAGCTGAAGTTATGTTTAAGCATTTTCTCATTCTCCAAACGGTTATTCTGTAGGGAAATACTGACGCTGAAAGCAAATAAACTGTTTACAGTAACAAGCATACATATATGCAATCATAAAGGTATACTGAGTAAATTATATAAATTAAAATTAAAATTTTGAAGTTAAAAATCAAGCACTCATGATCTTAACAACAGTGAGGTCACCTAAGAAACCTTATTTCTCCCTTCTCTCTGACATGTACTCATGTATTATGAAAGTTGTTCATTGCATGTTTGCATACAATTTTTTCTACAGACCTCTCTGCTTAGTTAACAAAAAGCTTTCAATGTTATGTTTTCTGCTTTATTTTTGAAAGTATGCCCCATGCTTTATTCATTACACATTTATTCAGATCCTACTCTGAATACAGTTATTAATTTCCTCATGGGCATTTTATGGAGCTTGTTGCTACAGTATTTATGGGCTTCAAAAATATTAACTATTTTAGTTTCATAATACACCCCTCAGATGAGGGGATATTTTGACAGGATATGAATATTACATTTGGAAAACAGTTATAGATTGCCTAGTTTGATATCTTGTAGACCTGTCAGGACTTGGCACTGTAGAAAAGCTTATTTCTTCAAGGCCTGGTTCCCACTGCTTTCAGTTGCAGTAATATCACTCACTGACTATCTAACTACCTCTAATCAAACCCTGGAGTTTTCAGGCATCTGAAAATGAGAAGCAAATATTTAGCAAGAAGTGCAGTTTGAAAGCCTTGAACCAGCTTTATCAAGGAACGTGCTGGCAAAGGCAAGGACTAAGACACAAATTTTGGACTGTTTAGCTCTCTCGAGATTTTGGACACTGCTTCTCTTCCCATAATTGTTTTTCTTTAATGCTTCCTTCACTTTCTAGAATAAAGATGACCAGGCTCCTGCCAGCAACAGCCTCACCTTTAACAATATTCACATAATTCATCCACTGTTTTGAATCTTCGGCTCCTCAACACAGTACCTGTTAACATGAATAGGTAGTGCTGCGTTTGGCCCAGCATTTGAAAAGGCTTGTCTGTCTTCACCACTGGATTTCATGGTTATTACTGGCAGAAGAGGGAATCTTGGGATCCCTTCCAAACTCTGGGAGAGGGTGTTTTTTAAATAGCAAACTCCCATCTGCTTGCTTCCCATGTCCATGCTTTGCCTTATCTTGGCTTTTTGTTTCAAGCCTGTCTTCATTCTGTCTTCAGTCTTGGCTGTTCATCCCACTTTTATTTTTCTTATCCAGTTAACGGTAGTGTTTGATTTGTATCCCAGTTCCAGCTGCCCTAATTGCACTTTTCTTTAATTTTGTTCTGGGATTTCTCACTCTCAGATTCATCTTCAGCTACGCAGGGTTCTTTTTGTTGTTGTTGTTTTGTTTTCATTCCCTTTATCTAGTGACCTTTCTCTTATGTCTTCTCACCCAATATAACTTTTAGTTATGTTGACATCCACCTTCCTTGTCTGTTTTTTACTGCAGGTGTGCACCACAAAATTGGTCTTGCTCCTTGACCTTATTTCCCAGTTACAAAATTGTCCTTGCTCCAGCCCTCACACTGATGTTCAGGCAATTTTTGCTTGTCTGCTGTCCTCCATCCATCTCTTCACTTGGTTACTTCTCAGGCCTGGTTTCCTTATGCAAAAAATTTTGCTGTCCCAAAATATATCCACCATTCCCACTGCTGATTTCTCCTAATTCTTTCTCAGGAGCTTTGTGCTGACTTCACCATGCTGCAAGATCAGTCCTTCTTCCCCATCTATACAAGTGAGACAACCTTCCCCTCCCCATAGTGCAGATACAACTGAGGTGGATTAAGCACCTGAAATCATTGCTTCTTCTCAATTAAGTTCCAGATCCAAGCAAGGCACAGCTCAAAATTATCATGTGATATATCATTGCAGGTGAGACAGGTGAGAGAGCTGCTAAAACTGCATGTATTCAAGGCTGTCTGTGTTAAAGGTAAAAAAGGATATATCTCTTGACATAAGGACTGATACTCTCCTTCTTTCTAGTCTGCTCAAGATTTAACATTTCCTACAGGCTGACCATACCAAAGCCCGTCCAAAAATACTGCTATGATTTTTAATTAGGATCAAACCCATCTATTTGCAAGTTTCATTCTCAAATACCTGGATAATTTAAGCTAACTTTCTAAAAAGAAGGCTGATGAAGAAGAATTTAAAAAATCATCTTGTAGTAGATACTAGCATGGAAAATGTTATATCAAATTGTCACAATTAAGGAAAGATATATAAGCAACTTAAACAATATCTACCAGCAGACAGTGTCAAGGAATTTTGATATTATATACCCAACCAGACTGTGTTTATAACATGATTTGTGTTATGCCCTCTCCATTTTTAATACTCTAAAAACTGCAGAAGAACAAAACTACATTGGTAACATGTACTGATGTTAAAACAAGTAATCAAGCAACAACAACAAAACCAGTGGTGCACAACTTAAATTAGAAACTGTTCTGTGTTTGCTCAGCATCCCTGATCCTCATCAAGCAATAAATCAATTTGCAGTAGCTGTGGACAGCTATTTAAACACAGGGCCAGAAGAGCTTAATTGTTAAAGCAATGTTCAAAGCTAGAAGGTATAGGAGGATAGTGTAAGAGGTCATATTAAATATTCACTTATCTAAAAACTGCTGCATTCCAAATATTAGGAGACATCCTGACCTTCTCTTAATTAAAAAACAAAGTCTATGAGCTTTGAGCTTAGCAGAGCTTAGCTTGCAGTTCTTCAGAGCATAGATAGAAGCTGCCAGTTGAAAAACTGGCATCTAAATGTTTGCCAACTTGATTTTGTTTGGTTTACTTTTTTGTCTAACATGCAAAAAAAAGCCAGCCAAAAACTGTTTGTTTTGGAGTTTGCAGTTTATTTTTACAAGTTGATAAAGCATTCAGGATTCAATCCTCAACTTTGTAAGAGGTTGCTCCTTGTCAAAGCTGACAGCAAACTTGTGTTTGACTTGCATCGGAACTGATCAGGGTCATCATTCTAGATATTGGTAGCTGGTGAACATAGTTTCTTTGGCAATTATATGATAATATAAGTGTGATAAACTATAACAATGATATTACTATTCCTAGACCTGTTCTTCTGTGACCAAATGTTGCTGGTAGACTTCGAAGTGATGATTGTTATTAGGTTGACTAGGTGTAGAGGGTTAATCTTACCCTCCAGTATTCAGCATTCTGTTACATAGCTGGGAGTCAGTGGATGATTTTTGACAGAAAAAAGCCCCTAATGAGCCTGATCTTGAAAAACTGCTGAGCATTTTGATCTTCCATTCAGTTCAAGAAGATGGAGCAGCTCAGCACCTTGCCGAACAGGATTCATGGTTTTGACCTATGTGCCGCTCACATGAAAAACCTCTGGTTTAGTTTACATGGTAATTTATCGCTTATCTCTGGCACTTACTACAGAAAACATGTAACACTGAGAGTGGAGGTAAGGAATCAAAGCATATAGGGGAACCCTGCCCTAATTGGGTTTCTACATAGACACAATGTATTCTTCTAACTCTGGATAACTGATCTGAAAATAAATAAGGTCTATCACCAGCAGCCAGGAGGAAGAATGGCAATTGTCTTACAGAAAGCAGTATGAAACTATGATACAAGACCTATCAATGACAGAAATATTGTCCTGTAGTTATGAGTGTTGTTTTATTTGTGGTAATATTTACATAAGTTCTCTACACAGCACAGAACTTTTACCCTTTTCAACACTGTCTAACCTCCATTTCATTATCACAGGTAGCTACAGATAGCATTATACCCACTGAATTTTATGGTGTAGCTATCAAAAAGAAACCCTAAAAAAAACCAGAAAAAAACCCCAAAACAAAACAAAACAAAAAAGCCAACAAAAACAAATAAACAAACAAACAAAAAAACCCAAACCAAACCAAAATATACCTAATGTACCTAAGGTGTCTTATTTAGTACCTTTTTCTAATCTTTAGTGTTGTAAAATGTCTATGGCAAAACTAATTGCATCCATGTTATCCAGCTCTCTCCAAAATTATTTGTACTGTGTTTGTTGTCAGTTCTTTACTACAATAGAACACTTTCCAGCAAAAGCTTCTTTTGAAAGAAGTCACTGATGTACCATGCAGCAATAATTAATAAGATCTCTCTGGAGAATTCAGGGATTATATTGTATTTTAAAGACGAATGCTCTTTCACTCACAAAGGTGATAGTTTTGTGGAGACACAAACAATATTTGCTGTAAATAGTACATATTTTACAGTTATTACACATATATACATATGCTTTACAATTCGAGCTTAACTTGCAGCCATTTCAACACAATATTCCTTCAGCACAATTAGAGTACTAAGCTCTTACAATTCATTTTTTACCCCCTCACCTCAAAGCTATATAATTTGCAATACTGGATGTGTCACAGACAACTAACTAGAGATAGTTATTGGCAATTGTGGGCACATATACTTGTACACACACATACTCATAATATAAAGGACCCAAAGTAAAGTCTGAGAGCAAAGCACTTCCAAAATTAACTCCAGGATCTGGAATCAGCATTTATATAAAATTGTCATCCTTCCAAGAAAAGGGTGAAAGAGGTCCCAGGCACCACTTACACATGCACAGTTCTGTGTTGCATTTAATACAGAGTCCAGTATCACTGCACAAGCAGTATAGATTTTCTGAAGAGTCAGATTTGCTATACATTCTCCAGACTTCTAGGTTTGGGTTTCCTGGTAGGAATGCCCTTGTCAGATTAGGCACTGAAGCCCTTACTTTATGAGTACAGGCTTAAAACATTGAATATATGAACAGCTCAGAATCTTCAAGTGTGAAGCATAAGAATCAAGGTGTATGTTTGTACTTCTGTTTAGTGTTATGTAGAACTGCCACAACCGGTAAGATATTTTTTTTTTTAAGTATATGTGCTCACATGAATTTTGTTTGTTAAAGAATTGCATTTACCATATAAAAAGTGCGCTTAATTTCCAGCATCTGAAAAACCCCCTAGCTCCATCTATCATAGCCAAATTTGTGTTTCTGTGGATTCTCTTTTTCAGTGAGTGACATGAATAGTGGTTTGCAGGAGAGACATTGCAGATAAATGCAATAATACATATTATCAAAATCCTTTTACTAGAAAAATTTGTAATATAAACACTCAAATATTGCACAAAATGCTAGTAGTGAAACCAGTCGGAAATATTCCTGGTTTAAGACTAAGCTATACTAAAGTGATAGATCGTGACTTCTAAATGATTCAAACAGTCTTCAATTTGAATGAAACTCCTCTACTACTACTTTTGCTCCTTCCTAAACCTGTTTTCTTCTCTCTGTATGCTCATATGAATCACAGAATCACAGAATGTGCTGAGTTGGAAGGGACCGACAAGGATCATCAAGTCCAACTCCTGGCCCTGCACAGGACCATCCCCAAGAGTCACACCATGTGCCTGAGAGTATATCCAAACACTACTTGAACTCTGTTAGGCTTGGTGCTGGGGAGCCCAACCACTCTCTGGGTGAAGAACCTTTTCCTAATATCCAGCCTAAACCTCCTCTGACACAACTTCTGGCCATTTCCTCAGGTCCTGTCCCTCGTCACCACAGAGAAGAGATCAGTGTCTGCCCCTCTTCTTCCCCTCATGAGGAAGTTGTAGACTGCAATGAAGTCTCCCCTCAGTCTCCTCTTGTCCAGGCTGAACACACCAAGTGACCTCAGCCACACCTCATATGGCTTCCCCTCAAGGCCCTTCACAATCTTCATTGCCCTCCTTTGGATGCTCTCTACTAGCTTAATATCTTTCTTATATTTTAGTGACCAAAATGCACTCAAAGCTATTACTTCATCACTCAACTCTCTTTAGAAATTGATACTGTCAGTTCATTTTTATTGTTATCTTTATAAGAAATTATTTCATTTGGTGTTAAATATCAAACTATTTATTGAATACAGTTTTTGATATTTGTATATTTCATTTGACTCTGAATATGGTTGCTTGATGTATTTGTAATGAGTCTCTACTTCCAATGCAAGTTTCATTTACTTTAATGACCAGATCAGTTTGCCAGTTGTCTCCATGAGTAAATTTGGATCTGTGGTTGTTATCACTTGTTACATTTCTTTCTCTAACTTCCCACCTCAGTGTCACCACAGGAACAGAATATTTGTTTGTTTGGGAAATAGAGACATAGGAACACACTTGAGTCTTGCTTTAAAAAGCAATGGCAAACTAGATGGGAAAACTCTCTTCTGAAACCCAACCTGTGATTATATTTTAGTATCAGAACTTTAACAAGGAATCATGTTGGTGTAGCCTACATTTTTAATGTAGTCCTTCAGGCAGCGTAGACATAATTGAGTTTGCAATATAGTTTGTTAGAGAAGTGATAAAGCACCAGAAGCAGCTCACAGAGTTCTGTGTGAAAGAAGAGACTTGTACTTATAAATAAAGTTTATTACTAATTTTAAACAGTGAGTATTTAATGAACATAGTATAGAAAATACTGCCTGACCAAGTCTCCAGTTAATATCCAGGTTAAGCTCTGCAACAAAACCAATCTCACCTGTACCAGCATTAGGCCTTTCTTACAGATTACCCAACACATGTAGTTAATAATAATTAGATGTGGTCTTCTTCCCCGACTCAACCCTCCTGTCCTGACCAAACCTGGGTTTTACCAAGCAACCAGAGCCACCCGCAGTGCACGGCCCCATCGCCTCGACACTTGCGTATTTTCCCAACAGTTTGCCCAGCTTGAAAGCCATGGCATGGAAGGTAACGTGCAGACGTCTGGCATCCCTGCCCTCCCGATCCAGTTGTGATTTTTTGGCATCCTGCGACCCCTAGTGAGAGCCGGGGCGGGCGAGAGGGCAGCAGCCACCCTGCCCCCGCCTCTGGCCCTCCGGCCCGGGGCCGCCAGCGCCGGCGAGCTCCCGCCAGGCACCCGCTGTTTCCAGGTCGTGGGCAAAACATCTCTCTAGGGATTTCCGTTTCCCCCGTTAACTGGCTGAAAGCTACTATAAAAACATAATAACGCGTTGCCTTTGGTCGCTTCGAAACAATGCGCTGATTGTGTTGCAACTTCACGCACAAAGCTGCTATAAACTCTCAAGGCAATGGAGGGAGAGGCAAGAGACAGCACCCGTCTTCTACATACCACCCCAAAAAAAAGAAATAAAATTGCCGGCTACACTTCTACTTAATTATGTACATATAAGGCCTAAGCCTTTGCAAATAACGACTAACAGTATTTGTTTGCCCACTGGTGTTAGGAAAATATCGGTGATAAGTTAAGTCTCCCAGCATTCAAAATTGCAAGCTAAGCTTTTTGCTGTTGCCATCATGCTCAGATCCACCAGAACAATGGAGTTTAAAACAATGATTGATTCTGTTCTAAACACATACATGAATTAAGAGCTGAGAACGTAAACATGCAATTATTAAAGAGGAAAGGGTATTTCTTAACTTGGTTCATTTCCCTCAACTAAGATCAACTTGGTATTCATATATATGCATCAGAATAAGTTTGAATATACAGACTATGTTATATATCAAACTGTTTTCTGCACTTAAACATACTGTAGACACACTTTTAGGGCCATTGTTACAGTATGAAAGGAGCAAGTCTGCTGTTTTAGTTTCTACCATTTACAAATAAAACACGCAAACAATTCTACCTAATGCTAAAAATAAATATGCAAGAACTTTAATATTTTGATTGTTCAACAGAAATTGTAATAAACATGAACTGGTCTAAATAGATCACTTTTTCAATGGAAAGATCTTGACAATCTGACTGGTGAAGCACTGCTATCTATCAGATGAAAAGATTCCAGGATATGAAACATAGCTGGTTTTCAAAGACACAAATTAATATCTTGTGATATTTTAATTTCCAAAGAAACAGTAGAGGCCTAGAATGAAAGGATTTTATTCAGCCTTTTATATCAAAATAATTATGGCTTTTCTTTGATTTCTTGCCTTCCGATTTGTAGCTTCCCAACACCCACTAAATCCAAAGTCAAGCTGTCTAGTCTTTCAGACTTCCTAGAAGTTTCCATTTGCTTACAAGTTGAGTTGGTCCATATCATACTTGGAACCAAAACTAAAAAGTTCAAAGATCTTCAGCAGTTCGGATTTCAAAACCTATTTTGAACTCAAACAATTTTCTTTGGGAGTTGAAATTCTCACAGATGTTTGAAATTCTCACAGATGTTTGCATAATGTGAGTGTGGATAACACGAATGTTAGATGAGTCTGCAATTGCCATCTCCCATTTTTCCAATTTTTTTTTTTACCTGGTTTAGTACCTCCTATCTGTTGGCCACTTAGCTAAATCACCACTTTAAGCAACATACTGTCAAGCCTATAAATTGCCTCTGAGAAAATGACTAGTGCAGAATTCATTGTTAGTTATACTTTTTTTATGTATTTAAAACACCTATTATATGCTTCTAAGGAAAAAAAAAAGAAGTCCACCTTTCTGCAGCAATGTGGTAGATATCACAGCTTGCATAACCCATTATAGTACATTAGTGAACAAATCGTAAAAGAGCTGTGTCTCTTCTACAAAAATCTCTCCTCAATCTGTTAGGCTGATTTTTCTTTAACTTTGCTCCACGTATGGGCAACCTATTACACAGAAGTTTTTATAGGCCTGTTTGGCTGAGCAGAGAAGATGCGAACCTGTAATACTAATATAATCCTATTGTGTCACAATGAAGGAGGAAAGGGCAAACAGTCCATCAGAAGCAGTAAATCTGATTCTGTGCAGCAATGTACATCATGCTGATGGCTTGGTTCATGGTTATTGGGTCCTTTACTGCTGCATGAATCAATCTGTTTAAAAATATTTTTATGCAATTGGAAATGTTCATAACTAGAAGTAAATTGTATACTTTTTAAAGCATATGGTTTATATTCAAAGTTTTATCTGATTTACCAAAGACCTAAGCAGAAAATAAAGATTCATTTTTTCTTAACAGTTTTAAGAGCTTCCTTTAAATCATTTGTTCTTTTACCAAATAATTCTGGGAATTCTCAGAAAATGCAAATTCTAAGTTGATATTTACATACATTCTCTGTAGGTGTCAGCATTGCTTTATATTGTTGTAGATAACTATTTTTTCTTCTTCTCAAAAAAAGAAGATGTGCAGATTTGTCATTTTCCACATGAAAGATAATTTTTATGTTGCCAGTTTGTATTTTACCATCCATTTTATACTAAGAGATTCAACACTATATTGCATAGGTGCAACTAAAGTAAATGAACAGAAAAAAAACTACATTGTTTTTCTATGCACCCATTTCCAGTTTTAAAATCTTTCTATTCCAGATAATTTTTGTATAAATATCAGCCTCATTGATATAAACACAAGGTTCATGTGTTTATATCACATAACCTTTGCAAATGTTTCTCAGATGTTGAAAGGAGCAACAATTCAGTTATGTTAAATATACTGTGAATCTATCTTCTTTACACAGACTATAGAGGAAAACTGTGGAATTCTAGTGAAATTCTCAAAAAGCCAGCATAGACAAATATTATTTAATACTTTCATTCATAAACTTATCATACAAAAGAAAAGTATGCTACTGAAATCTGTTGATAATACGTTATTGAGATGAATTATCCATGCAGAAGGGAATTGTACTATCATACTAGAAGTGAATGACCTTGGGAGCCAATGTAATAGTAATTGGATGAAAATGAATTGTACAAAGTGCAAGATCATAAAAAAGGGTAAAAAAAAGAATTGTTTTTGGGATTTCAGGCATAAAGAGTGCTTGAAGAAAGATGTGAATTAAATAGTCAAACAAAATTATTATCAACCTCCTATACTCATGAAAGAGAAACACAATCCAAGCATCTATGAAGCAAGATATTTCCAATAAAAAAAAAGAGAGAAACATTGATGTCATTATTACAAACTCAAGTATATATGAACATTACTTGAAATTGGGCATAGAATCTTGACCATTCTTTTTATCAGAGGAACAGGGAGCTTCTCTTCTAGGAGGGTATTAAGAGATCACTTCAAAATCATTTGAAGGAATAAGTTAGCTTGCTATAAGAGTAGTGGAAAACAAATTAACTACATAAAAATAGCATCAACACAAGAAAAAAAGTCTACAAACTGCTCAAGAATGACAATAAAGCTGGGAGAGGGATTCTGACATCACCACCCAGAAGGAATAACAGAGGAAGAAATCCCATCGACTTTTCAAAGGGAGCTCAAAAGAGAACATATCTGCTTGGTCTAAGAATGTGATAAAGTCTGTGTCTCAGGGAGGTCCCAGTAGCCCAGTCTTTCATTTGTATTGTGGGTTTGAACCAAGATTTGTCATTAACGCTGTACCATTATCTATTGATAAAGTGCTACTTACAGCCATTGATTGTGGGCTTAGGTTTAGGTGATCTATTTCTAAGTGAAATAGGACAGACCAGAGTTTATGGGATTTTTTGCAGTAGTAGCCTCAGAATCTATTTAGACTAGATTTAT